CCAAAGCAAAACAGCGGGAAGGGAGGGATCCCTCCAGCCAGAGACCGTGCAGGGCTCAGCAGGCAGCTCCCACCGGGAGGGGTCAGGGGATCCCACTCCTCCTTGCCCAGATTTTACTTGCTGTCTCTGTCCCCACCTTCCTGCCAGCACCCTCAGGAAATGAATTTTGTACACTTCCCTGGATTCCGTGGACATTTCTGACCCCTTCTGCAAAGCCAGGAGGATCCCAAAGGGCAGAACATCCCAGCCACCTGAGGGGGAGTGAGGTACCACTGCCCAGGGAAGCACGTTCTGGGTGGAGCAGCTCGGGAAGAGGAAGAAGGGACTGGACACGGAGTCCTGGGCAGGTCCCACCAGCCTGCTCCGCTTCCATGCCTGGAAAGGTGGGATCCTGAGCTCAGCTCGGCACAGAGGGAGGATGGGGGAGGGCTGAAGGAGTCACCAGCTCTCCCAGGGCTGTGGGTGGTGGCTCGGGTGACATGTGCTGGTGCAAACCTGCACGGTCCCCTCACACGGTCACCAGCTGGCAGGGGCACCTCTGATTGCAACACCAGGAGCTCGGGGACTGTCCCCAGACACGGGCACAGCCTTGGAAATGGGCACTGCCCTGCAGGGCTCGTGGCTGGGGTGTCCCCACGCCTGGGGACACGTCCAGCAGCCACAGCCAGGACCTTCTCCTGAGCATGCTGGGCACAAGCAGGACCCTGGGAAAGGACACAATATTTTCAGCCCTCTCTGAGTACCCAAGGAGTGACATTAAACTGCAGAAAGATGCCCAGGCTTGGCTACCTCTTTACTGTGAGGGTGGGGAGGCCCTGGCACAGGTTGCCCAGAGAAGCTGTGGCTGCCCCATCCCTGGAAGCGTCCAAGGTCAGGTTGGACAAGGCTTGGAGCAACCTGGGAGAGTGGGAGGTGTCCCTGCCCATGGCAGGGGGTGGAATGGGATGAATTTTAAGGTCCCTTCCCACTCAAACCATCCTGTGATTCCATGATTTTATTCCCAGCCACAAGCTGTCAGCATCTCATTCCAGCTCCACAGCAGAACTCAAAGCCACCATGTCCTCTTTTCCTGCAGAAAAGCCAAATTTATCCACTGCCTGCAGCTCCTGGAAATGAATTACTCCTTGACAGAGGTACTGTGACTTCTACATCTCTCCTAATAAATAAAGGTTCTTTATTTTTGAGGGCAGGACTCCTTCCTGGCCCTGACACAAACCACATCTGTACCAGCAGGACCCATCACCCTCGTTCCAACTGGGCTGTGCCAGGTGCTGGACCACCAAGGAGCAGGGAAGCCCATCCCTGGTCCAAGGGAAAGCCACCCTCTAGTCACCACCCCAGCACAGCCACGTTCCTGACAGGGATGTGGCCAAAAGGGCTCAGATCCAGGAGATGCAGGACATACAAACAGGGACAGAGCCACCCCAGGGACTCCAACAGCTCCTGAAAGCTGGAGCACTCCTAAAAATTCTCATCCCAGCTTCTCCTGTGACACCAGGAGGAAGATCCCTGCCAGGGGAGATCAGAGGAACATCACAGCACATCCTTCCAGCCTGTTGCAAGGGTCTGGGAAATGCCATTCCTGGTGCTGTGGATCTGAAGCACCAGGAAAAGCTCTGGGGGAACACCAGCACCATCCTGGTACATCTGATCTGTTCAAGCACCTCCCACATGCTGGAGATGTTTTGCTGTTCCCAGTGAGCCCCCCACCCAGCCCTGGAGCAGGGCAGGAGGGTGGGAGCCAAGCACAGGGTGAGGAACTGCCTGTGGGGCAGGAACTGGGCTCCAGGGACACAAGGGGAGCCCTTGATGCCATTCCTTATTTGCAGCAGCACGGCCCACCCAAGGAAAATCCCCTTCCACGCTCACCAGAATCTTCCCTGTCACCCACAGCAGCCTCTGTCCCCACTGGGTGCTCACAGGTCTCAACACAACCACCCCTGAGGCTCTGCTACAGGTAGGAAGGGGTTAAACCAGGGGACAGGATGGAGGGTTTGTCCATCTCTGTCTTCCCAGCAGCTTCTTTGCCAGGTCCTGCCCTGGAAGCGCAAGTGACCCCCCCCAACACCAGAATTCCCGGCCAGTGACCCTTCAACACCAGAATTCCCACTGAGACAGGCACTGCCTTCCCCAAATCCTCAAGGACAGGCGATGGCAGAGTCATCTCACAAGTGCAGGGAGGCCACAGGAGCACTTGGCCTGCACATGTTGGGCAGGAGCAGGGAAGTGCCATTTCCTTCCTGGAAACCCAGCTCTGTCCCCCCCATGTCACTGTCCAACCCCACAGCTCTCAGGAGAGGGCAGGGACCTCCATGGCACCACTGGAGACCACGGCACAAAGCCACAGGAGGCCCCAGAGGGACGGGGGGACCCAAACAGGACCTGGCAGTGGGTAACATCCCCCAAGCCCAGCCCAGAGGGACATGGTCACCTGCCTGAGAAGCAGCAGGAGACCCCAGGATGGTTCTCCAGGAGCTGCTGTGGCCCAACAGACTTGGAGAGCCAAGGGCAGCCAGGTGGGACCACAGATGAGCCCTGGTGCCCCCAGTGCCCTCCCTCATCCAAGAGACCTGACAGCAAAGGGATCAGCTCCTCCTCTCCCCTGGAACACTCCCCTGGATGTGCCTTGCTCTTGCTTTTATTTATTATTATTTTTTACCTTCTCTCCGGGGAAAAGATTTAAAGGGGAAAATGCCATTTCTGGCCAACCTGACTCAAATCAGGAGGGAAAAGTGCTTTTCTCTCTTTTCTCTCTGTTTTGTAACTTGGCTGGAAAGACCAAGGAAAGGGAAAAACCTGCTCAGAAACCCTACAAAGAATCTATTCCCACCTGGCTCAGACTGAACCAAATTTTTGTCAGCAAACAGCTCCCACCTTCCCCTCCTGTTTGAAAAGGGATTTGGGGCAGTGGGAGGGGACACGCACACGACCCTGAAACCAGGGAGATGGTTCGCTCCTGCCTTTGCCTGAGCTCAGGAGCAGCGGGAGATGCCCCGTGGGCGACAGCCCGAGCTCTGACAGGTCACAGCCCTGTCCAAGTGCCCTGATAAACATCCTCCCGGAGCAAAGGGATTCCAGCCTTTCCACCCTCCGGCCCCGGCAGCTCCCGCCGCGCCACAGCCTCTGGCATCGGTTAAGAGAAAGGGGCCAGGGCACGGAAAACTCCTCCCCGGGACATGTGGGGTCCAGCCCCGGGGGGTTCCCACCCAGAACGCTGCACCCTGTCCCGACGCTGCTCCTGGAGGCCGGGGGGGGATCCAGGGAGTGGGGCTGATCCAGGGAACGGGGCTGATCCAGGGAACGGGGCTGATCCAGGGAGTGGGGTGATCCAGGGAGTGGGGTGATCCAGGGAACGGGGCTGATCCAAGGAACGGGGCTGATCCAGGGACCGGGGCTGATCCAGGGACCGGGGCTGATCCAGGGACCGGGGGTGAGCTGGTGCTCAGCTCCAGCCCAGCAGCTTCCCAGCCACCATCCCAGGGATCCCAAAAGTGACACAGGATGGCCCGTGGCAAAGGGTTGGGGGGCGAAGGTGTTTCCAACCTGCATCCCCAGGTCCCTCAGGAGGAGAGCAGGAGGTGGCACAGGGCTGAGCAATGCCAGAGCTGCCACTGCCCACCCACCCCAGGGCTGATGTGTGGGACCAGTCCTGGCCCCGCTGCCTCATCCCACCCCTCATCCCCCACAAAGGCAGGGAAAAGCAAACCTCACACTCTCCCCGAGCGCTTTGGGGGAGGTCTGGATGGAGCTGACACCCTTTCCCACCGGGACAGGCCCTGGAGATCACCAGCACCTTCCCCACAGCCACCACCTCATCCCTGTTCCAGGGAATCACCCCAAAGCCGGCACGGAGGGGTAAAGGCTCCACAGCCCCGGGATTATGGGAGAGGGCCCAAACCAGGAGCACCACAGGGGGAGGGGGAGGAGGTTGCAAGGCCCTCTCCCCTTGTTTGACCGCCACATCCATGGCCACCACTGACAGGGATGCTGGATCACCAGGGAGTTCCACGGAAATACGGAGACACGGCCTTAATCCCAACACCTCCCTCGGAGGGACAGAGCCCCAAAGTGCCACTGGGAAAGGGGAAGTGGCTACAGAACCCCAACCCCTGTGCCAAACCAGAGCCACCCACCACAGGGACACCCTCCTGGGGGTCCCCAAAGGAACAGAGGCGGGGTGAGGGAGGTCCCCGTGGAGCCGGAGCCACCCTCCCTCCGGATCAAAATGGCGCTGGGGTTAATCATTACCCCGCGCCCCAAACCCCGGGGAAAAGCCTCGGCAGCAGGGTGGGGTCAGGCCTGGCTCACCCCCCTTCCCACCAGGAAGAGCAGCTGGAGGCTCTTGGTGGTGGGACAAGGGGTCTGGCACCCGAAACGCCACCGGGGAGCCTCGTCCCCTTGGCTGGGTGGGCAGCAGGGCTCGGACGGGGCTTCTGCCACCACCCAGGACAGGGGTGGACACGCAGGAACATCCCAAAGCCACTTCTCCGGGTCTTTACCTCCTGCACACAGAGGGAGGCTGCCCAGGGAATTTCAAGGAGTATTCCTTCCCCGCCAGGGCGGTGGAAAAATACATCTAATAAAATAAAATGGAAAACGAGGTCCCATTTTCCCCCTGGAAACGTCACGGACGCAGCGATCCCATGGCCCACGTCCTTCCCGGCGATCCAACGGCGGCACGGAACCCCTGGAGCCCCCTCGCCTGCTGGTTCCTGGGATCAAAAGCCCTACAAACCCCAGGTTCTCCTCCCAAACAGGGTGTTGTGAAGGAAGGCAGGAGAAAAAAAAAAAAAAAAAAAAACCAACAAAAAACCAAAACCACCAAAACACAAAACCACACAAACGAAACCCAACACGCCCAAGAGAAAACCCGGCCGAGGGGGAAGCGGGAGCGGACAAAGCCACGGAGGGGCTTCGGCAAAGAGCAGGAAAACGAGGCAGAATTAAACCCAAACCCAGGCTGGAGTTTTTGGGAGGAGCAGGCAAAACCTGAGCCTTACCTGGGCCAGGTCGGGCGGGTTCTCCAGGGGCCGGGAGGGGGGTTTGATGTCCTCGAAGACGGGGGTGTCCTCGCCGGGCTCCCCCGACATGGTGACGGGTTTGAGCTGCGTGAACACCGCGGGGTCCTCGGGCAGCGGGGTGCGCAGCACCAGCCCGCTGCTCATTCCTCACACACCCCGGGGGCAGAGCAGGCTGGGTGCCAAACAATATTTAAAATAAAAAAAAAAAAAAAGGGGGGGGGGGAAAAAGGTGAAAACGAAAAAAAAAAAAAAGGCAAGGAAGGGGAGGGGAAAGGGGAAAAAAAAGCTGGAGGTAGAGGCGAGCCGGAGCGAGGTGTAACCGTGGGAGGTGGCGGGTCAGGGAAGGCTCTACCTGGGCTGGGGAGGAGGAACGGGAGGAACACCAACGCCAACCTGGAAGCGGCGGAGAGGCTGCCGGAGCCAATCAGGCTCCCGGTGATGGCCCCGCCGGAGGCTCCACCGGGACACCGGCGCATAAAAGGCTGAGTGGGAGCTTCGCAGGCAGACACGCTCCCACACGGGGCTTGGGATCACCTGGCACCACGGGAGCCAGCCCCCAGCCCCAGGCAGGTGGCCAGGAGGGCCTCCAAGGGCCACGCTCCTACACGGCGGTTGGGAGGATCCGGCACCTCAGGATTCAGTTCCCAACCCCAAGCGGGTGGGTCAGGAGCTTCAGTGTCAGCCATACTCTGCCACAGTGCTCGGGAAGCTCTGGCACCCCAGGACTCAATCCCCAACCCCAGGCGGGTGGCCGGGAGCTTTGGTGTCAGCCATATTCTACCACACTGCTCTGGAAGCTCCAGCAGCCCAGGATTCAGTCCCCAACCCCAGGCAGGTGGCCAGGAGGATCTCCAGCTCTGACACGGTGCTCGGGAAGATCCAGCACCCCCACACTCAGGCCCCAACCCCAAGTGGGTGACAGGAGCTTCAGCACCAGCCACACTCCAACACGGTGCTCAGGAAGCTCCAGCAGCCCTGGACTCGAGTGGGTGGCTGGGAGCTTTACCAGCAGCCACGCTCTGACAGTGTTCAGGAAGGTCCACCACCCCCAGACTCAGTTCCCAACCCCAAGAGGGTGGGCAGGAGCTTCTCCAACAGCCACTCTCTGACACAGGGCTCGGGAAGCTCCAGCACCTCAGGACTCAGTTCCCAACCCCAAGCAGGTGGCCAGGAGGTTCTCCAACAGCCACGCTCCGACACGGTGCTCAGGAAGATCCCGCACTCCCAGACTCAGGCCCCAAACCTGAGCAAGTGGCCAGGAGCTCCAACATCAACCACGCTCTGACACGGTGCTTGGGAAGCTCCAGCACCCCAGGACTCAGTTCCCAACCCCAGGCAGGAGGTTCTCTAACAGCGACACCCGAACACGGTGCTCGGGAAGCTCCAGCACCTCTGGACTTAGTCCCCAACCCCGAGCGGGTGGCCAGGAGCTTCAACATCAGCCACACTCCACCACAGTCCTCACAAAGCTCTGCCACCCCAGGCTCAGTTCCCAGTCCCACATGGGTGACCAGGAACTTCAACATCGGCCACACTGACATGGTGCTTGGGAAGCTCCGGCACTCCAGGACTCAGTCCCGACCCCAAGAGGGTGGCCAGGAGGTTCTTCAGCAGCCACACTCCAACACAGTGCTCGGGAAGTTCCAGCACCCCTGGAGTCACTCCCCAGTCCCAAGTGGGTGGCCAGGACACCTGGCCAGGAGCCTCCTCATCAGCCACGTTCCACCACGGCACCCAGGCAGCTCCGGCACCACCGATCGGCTCCTCCGGGATGGAGGGACTCAGTCCCCACCCCAAGGGGTGACCACCCCCCAGCTGGGACACCATTCCCCACACCAAGTCCCCTGCACTGAAACCAGGGGGTCATGTGAGTTTTTTTACAGCCACAGCTGTTTTTTTTTAATAAGAAAACACCAGTTTTCTGACAAACGGTCGAATTTGGCATGAAAACTGGTTTTTAGAGAGGGGGTTCCTGCTTGCACTTTTCTCATTCCCGGGGAGAAAAAGGGAAGGATCAAAAATAAAAGGGACAAACCTCAGGGAGAGCAAAAAAACCAACAACTAATGAAAAGCTGGAAAGGCACAGCAACAAACAACACAAGTGACTGTGTTTGGGTTTCACTTTTTGAAAGGAAGGAGTGTAAAAATCCAGAGATACAGGGGAATAAAAATCACCTTTCTGGCCAAGAAAAAAAACCCCAAACCATTCTCCTCCGGACACATCCAGCCCCAAGTGTCCCCAGCCCCTTCCCAAGGAGCTGCACTGTGCCAGGCTCACTAAGAGCCCGGTCTCTGCCTCCTCTCTGTGTTCACCCACCCCAAATCAGCCCCAGAACCTCCCTTGCCCACTTCCCTGTGCCTCCCAGGCAGGATTCCCACACAGGCTGTGTCCTTGCAGGGGGATGTTGCTGTCACCCCCCTCGGGGACAACCCACCACCCTCAGGGGCCTCGAGGACCACAGAAATAGGAGAGGGAGGGGATTCCTGCCACTCTGGGGACTTCACAGGGGCCACACAAGGCCTGTGATCACTCAGATGACTCCAGGAGCCACAGCAGAGGTTGGGGGTCTCACAGCTGCCATTCCCACACCAGGCTCCAATAAGCATCAGCTGGCAGGGGCTCAGCATGTTGGGCCCTTGGAAAAGCAAACACAGGAAAAGCTCAGGCCTTGCCAGGAGCCCTGCCAGGCTTTGTTTTCCAGGGAAGCTGTGCTGCTGCTGGAGCACACACCAGAGCTCCCAGGGAACACCAGGAAGATGGGGGTGTCCCCACCAAGCCTTGCAGGACCACACAGGGAAAGGATTTCACAATGAGGGTGAGGAGGCCCTGGCACAGGTTGCCCAGAGAAGCTGTGGCTGCCCCATCCCTGGAAGTGTCCAAGGCCAGGGCTGGAGAAACCAGGTCTGCAGGAAGGTGTCCCTGCCCATGGCAGGGGCTTTGGACTAGATAATCTTTAAGATCCTTCCAAGCCAAACCATTCTGGGATTCTGTGATAAATTATATAAACCAAAAGAGTTCCTTCTCTCTCCACCCCATCACCAAAGCGTGGCCTTGCAGCCCCGGGGCCGGGTGCCCCCCATTCCCGGAGCAGGGCACGCTCCAGGCTGTGCCTGCCCTGCAGGGATCAGCCCAGATGGGATTTCCCGAGGCAGAGCAGCTCCCCCTGGCAGGGATGGGCCAAAGCCACGGCAGGGCCCTTATCTGCTGCTGGCCTTGAGTACATCCTCCCACCTGGGACTTTGCCCCCAGCCCCCGGGGGGGCCCCCTGGGCACACCCCGCTGGCACAGGGTCCCTTTGTGGCCCCACGTGCCGGCGGGGACAGCACGTCTGGTACAGCGATAAGGGCAGCTCTCCCTGACCCCGCCACACCACGCACCTCCCTCCCAACATTCCTCTCTCTCCCTCCATCACTCCATGCAGAATTCCCTTCTGTGGGGGAAAGCCGAGATGCCGAGGGGGGTTCGGGGAAGGGAGAGCCTGGGAAGGGGGTGATGGAGGGTCCACGGTGGCTCAACCCACCCGAGGGGGTCTCAACCCAAGGGCTGGGGCTGAAGGCTCTTTGCAGTGCCAAGGAGGGCAGGGGGTGCTGGTGGGAAAAGTGGGGAGCCAGCCCCTGATCCCCAGCCCTCGAGCACTCGGGGTTCATGGGAATGGCAAGGAAGGACACCCGGGTCCTCCTCTCACCTTCAAGCAGAGGGAGCAGCAGGATGTGAAGCCCTGAGTTAGAGACTTGAGCTAAAAGGCAAGAAAGGCACCGAATTTTGAGGCAGTCTGGATCAGGCTGGGAAGTGAACCTCGGCTCCTGCCTCCCAGATCATCCAGAGGCACCCCCAGCCTGGGTGAGCCCCAGGGGCTTCCACCCATCCTCAGATCCCAGCACTGGGCTGGGTCCCAAGAGCCACCCCAACGGGCGACAGCCCAGCAGCACAGCCCGGTCCCATCCCTGCCGGGGTCCCAGAGCACATCCCACCCAACAGGTGGGGACAGGGAAAGGGGCCAGACCCTGGCTGGGGGTCCCAAGCCCTGCTCTCCTCCTGCAGCAGCTGTTCCTCCCCCTGCTGCTCCCCCAAACCCACTACTCACCCCGAAAGCGGCGGCTGCAGCACTGACCTCTTGCTGTGCCATGATGGACATCCCAAATCCTCTCTGCCTCCCTGGGGCCAGGCGCTCCTGGTTCAGCCTGGGTGCTGCTCGGGATTCCTCTGGGAGTCACAGGCTGGCCAGGGAAGGGGGACAAACCCCCCCTTGCCTTTCCCCAGGACCAGCAGACAAAGGTCGGCGAAGCTGCCGGAGCCACCCCGCGCCTGCCCCGCTCCCCCAGCGAAACCCAAAACCACCTATTTTTGTCTCTTCCTTTCTCCTCCTCGGGAGGTTTTCCAGCCATCAAATCCCTTCCCGGGAGCCCTTCAAAGGAGAAGCGGCCGCCCCATCATCCACTTGCTAAACCAGTCTGAGCAGTGCCGGGAGAGGCCCCGCACCCTCCGGGAAAGGGACGGGGAACCGTCCGGAGGGACCTCGGGTGACCCCGGAGCGAGGAGAGGGATGAGTGTGGCACCTCTGGGACAAAGGCATTGCCACCCCCTGTGCACCCTAAGGGTGCCACCAGACACCAGGACCCCTCAGCCAGGCTGCAGACCCTCCTCAGTCACAGCTCGTCCGCAGCGGGGAGCGATTTCGAGATTGCTAAATTCTTATCCCGGCCAGGGAAAACGGCAGGCAGGGGATGGGGAAAGAGCCCCGCGGAGCTGGGGAGGTCCCCAGCGTCCCCAGTCGGGCGGTGCTGGAGCACTGGGAGGTATCACAGCCCCCGGCAGGGAAATCGAGCGGCTGTTCCAGGCGTTCCTGGGAGAGAAGGAGGGTGGGGAGGAAGCAGAAGGGCCCGAGGCTGAGGTAAATTTCCAGGACAAATGGCAAGTGGGAGGAAGGGGATGGTATCTGTCTTTTTAATCCCCCAAAACCCAGGCTCGGACCTTTGTCAAACCTGGAAACCAAGCGGAGGGGTTCCCCATGTTCCCATCTGGGCTGCAGGGATAGACCTGGGGCCTCTGCAGCAGGATCCACACCCGGCTCCACACCCTGATCCCAGTCCAGGGACACCCACTGCACGGAGGGATTTAACCCCCTGCCCCTCCCGAGCCCACG